GTCTTATCGTTAATAATAACTACAAGATTATCCTTTGGAGTAGAAATGTTAGAATATAGCTAATAGTTATGTAGCTGTGATGAAAATAAATTGCATCAGTGTTTGGATTTGCCTGCTACCATGAGAATTGATAGCTTTTTATTTTCCTAATCCTGTTTTATACTACTGTGGATTACACAAATACACAGTCCAAGAACATTTTTTTAAAGATTTATTAATTTTTATCCCATATTTTAAATTAAAACATGTTAGTGCCTTCAAGGCAAGTCCAGTCATAAAAATGGAAATAATGTTTCAGGAATCCTATCAGTTCTTTAATAATGACACATAATCCGAAGTGTGAGTCCTACTAATACCTCATTGTGTGGGACAGCAAATTCTGTAGATTGCTGTTATACTGCATTTAGGAAGGAATAGTGGACTTAAATGTTTTAAGTCGACTTAAAATTTGTTTTAGAATTTAAACAAAATTCCTCTTATTCCTTAGAAATGCAGCAGAGGAATGTCCAATTTACTCCATTTATTTAATGGACCACTGCCTTCTCTCATATTTCTCTCTTGTAAACGTTAATTTTCTAGTTTTGTTTGTGTAATTTTTTATTGCCATGTTCAAATCTGCTTTTATAATGCATTTCAGTAAGAGTTTAGCTATATTGCAAGGTTGGCAAAGGGAGTGAGGCACCAATGTTATAAGAACATCATATTTGATATACACTGTGTTGAGTTCAAGGTTAAGAAACAGGTGGTCATTGAAGTGAAATCTGTTTCAACTCAACTTTAATCTAAAAGCATTATTAGATTGTGAGTGTCTGTCATAGATGAATTTATTTAACTCCTTGTACAAAACAGCTTTCATATTCACAGAAAATTTGCTCTGGTCTATATAAGTACCTCTGGCTCATAGAATGAGAACTGCCTGCCTTGCACTCTCTTCACTTCCCTGCCTTTTAGAAGTTTTTCAGTTGTGAAGGCAGGGGTTCCCATATTTAATTTCTTTGGATAGTATAACTTTATCTCCAAAGGAGACACCACACAGAAGTTTTCAGGTTTTGGTAAAAAAGAAGATATATGCTGTGGATAGACTATAACCATTTCAAACATTACTATACATCTGCTGATAATTACCTTTTTTTTTATTTCTTATGGGAATCACATTTTCCCTGAAAAGTAGATCATGTTTAGGATGGTGTCATACTTAAGACTGTGTTAGATAGCAGTGATATGCATTATTTGGGCAGTAGCTACTGTGTCATAAACTAAAGTAGTGTAGATGATCACATTCAATACCGTGATAAAAAACATCAAATACTTTTTGATAACGTCAGTTTTCAATTGTATTTACCAGTAGTTTGGGATAATTTGCATCTCAGTTTGTTTGGGTCTGAGACAGACATTTGCCACAGTCTAATGGTGTGAGTGTTTACAACAGAGTTAGAAAATCTAAATTCAAGTTCATGATTCAATGAATTTGTAATTATTGTGTAACAGAGTGGCATGAACATGCAGACTTTGCAGACAAACAGATACGCAACAACTGAGTTTATCACTGGTTCATCTCCTAAAGGAAGTGGCACCCAGGCTCTCAATCTAATTGATCAATTTCACAGGAGGTAGTGAATCTTGCACATCAGGGTTTAATTCATGCAGCTTTGATTTATTTGAGCAGGATTGTCTGCCTCATTATGCTGATGAGGGTTCTCACACTTCCATGGAGTTGTTGCTGATATTCTCTGGTGTGCGTTTGCCATCACTCAAGTAAATGTTGGGCAGCCAACAGCTACATAATTAACAAAGTCATGAAATTGCTTTTTAGAATTTGACTTCTGGTTTATCAAAGGGAACTCAGGAGCCCTAAACTTACACTGACATTAAGTTTTCTTTGGAGTTACTGACACATACCAATACCTTTCAGGGCAAAGGTCCTGAACAGGAGGTTCAACAGATATACTTTGGATGATGTCCTTTATCATTTGATGTTCCTAGGTTGTCTAACCATGTAATTTTCTTGTCTGTGTTTTGAGTAAGTATGTTTGTTTCATTCTGCCTTTCTTGTGGAGGGTTAAAGGATTAAAATTGTGACTCTCTCTCCAAGCCTTTCCTTGCAGTTCTGGTTGAAAATGCAGTAAATATTGATAACGATCAGAAGCGTGTCTGGAGTCAGAATTTTCAAAAAAATTACCTTTTTGTCTGAATTCTACATGTGTTTCCATTGTGTAGTCTTATCAGGTGATTTAGCCTCTGATGTATGGCTAGAACTATGGATTTCCCAGCAACAGGACTGTTTCAGAAAAAGAAACTAGGAGGGTTTAAATTGAAAATCTTTCGTAGAGTAGCTGATTTCAAAACTTGAACTCACATAACCCAGTAACTTGAGAATCAAAAAATTCCCACCCAGACTGCCATTCAATACATGTTCCAGAGACCACTGATATTTTTAAAACACATCCTGCAACTGCTGATTCTGCAAGTAGTTGTTTGCCATAATCAGATGTAAAAGCCCTTTATCTCCTATCACCTGATGGCTGTGCTATAACCTTTGGCTTCAGACTTCTGGTAGGAGCTCAGTACGTATTTTCACCAAGAATGAAACTCTAATGGCCTTAACAGCAGTACTCATTGTGTGTAACAGTGCTGGAAATTAGTTTCTTAGGCACTGATCTTGACAGGTCAGCTGTCACAAATTGATAGACATATCTGTAAATACATCAGTCCTATAAACAAAATTGTGTCTGCAGGAAGTGGAGGCTAAAATTGGCACAGTTCTGAACAAGTGAAATGTTCCAAAGCACAAGGATGGACAGGAAAAAATCCCTTCTGGAAATGGTTTTCCTTATGCTGTACCATTTATGAATTTTATCTGCATAGTTTGCTTTTTAGAGACTGAAAAGATTGCGCCTGTATAGAGAACACTATGGAGTTCTGTTCTGAAGTGACGTTTGCTCCTTCTCCTTGCACTTATCCCTGCTGCAGAAAGGAGGAATCTTTGTGTTGCTCCCTTTGAACAAAAGGAATAAGTTTACGGTTTTGCACTGGCATGTCTCCTGTATTTTTTGGAATTCTTGGAGTTAGTGCAAATTGTGAAACACAGGGTATGCAAGAAGTTTTACATTTCCCATTTTTTAATAAATATTTATCCATCACTTGTTGATTTTGCAAGCCATTTTGGCCAAAAATCTTAATCATATACTTACTGCCTAGGACTACTGAAGAAGGTTAAACAGTGAACTTTCTTTACAGATTTGAGACACAATATAAACCACACACACCTATGCTAGTCTTTGAAGTCGATGAACCACATTGATTTATTTCAAATGACAAATATGTCCATTTGTTTTGACAATAGCAAGAGTAAGAAACAACTGGAAATATTTCAGAGCAAGCATCTTAATTCATATTCAGAAGATACCATGGCTACAGGTCTTTATCTACCTGTGTTGCTGCAGACACTTTTATGTGTCGAAGCTCATCTGTCTCTCCAAACTGTCATCACAGGGGAGAGTTTTCAATCTGAAATACTTTAGCTTTCAGGTGTGTCATTAGAAAGCTGAATATTATTCATTCATTCACCTCCTCCATCCTCCAGGTCATCTGGATAAAAGGAGATGTACTTTAATTCTTTCCTCTCCTATGTCTCAACTTTCAAGATTTAATGACTATGGAATAATTTTCATCAGTTGTGATAGTTCCTGAATATTCACTGAATGTCCTGTTCTTTTTCTAGTTCCCTGTTTATCAGTTTAGTGAAACAAAATAAAAATAAAACTGTACAGATCACTTCCATCACATTTTATTTGTTGATTTGATTTGTGAGGCTTTAGGATAAAACTGAAGTCATAGAAATAAATCATGTAAGACATCTAGCCATAGGCATTTTCAGTGAAATAAGTTCTTTCCAAGAAGGTTTTGACTTGTTACATGAAAACTAGCTTCTGGAAGGAGGAATCCATATTTCACATATCTTGGACTGAGTTTAATTTCTACAGGGCATGCCTTCAGCTAACAACACTGCTTCCACATACGCGAGCATAGTATTGGTGTTTAAGAGTAGAGCTGGAAAAAAAAGAAGAAACAGTTTCTACTCGATACTATTTATGACTCTTCTGAACAAAATGACACTGTGGATTCTGTTTGAAGGCAAAAAGAGTGTCTGACTGCTGCTGCTGCTCAAAAGCATATTTAGTTTCAACAACCCAAAGGTCACTTAAGATTGACTTTTCTACTGAACCTGTTCTATTGAGTTGGACTGCATTTCTCTTCAGAAAATGCAGTAAAATTTATTTTTAAAATTATATATTTCATTTTAAAATAAAACATTTAGATATAATATTCCAGAGAGATATTCTGAAATTATGCATCCAGGTTTATCTGGCAGGTGCATGAAGTTGTAGTAGGTGTGAGATACTTGTTCATCAGAGCCTGGGACCTCAACAGGCTGCTACTGTTTTAGAGATGAGTTAGAAGTAAGAACAAGAGAAAATAGGACTTAGGATCTGAAGAAAGTCTGAAGGAGGAGACAATCTGACACCATAGAACCTATGTCAAGAATTTATTACTATAGGTGAACACCCACATTGTACAGCAGGAAAAATGATCAGTCTTTGATAAACAGGGGGGAATTATTTGAAAATAGGCAGGAATCCTAGCAGAGAGGGAAGTCTGGGATAGTGAAACCACAGATAATCCTCAGAACTGTCAGGCAATATAAACTTACTGAAGAGAAATGTCTTATCAGAGTGATCTAAGGGAAATAATAGGACAAATACCACAGATAACAGAGTGGTTACATTGCGTGCATAGATGAAAATACATTCAGGCAAGGTACTTGTTTATGTCTATCCTCTGAATCTCACTAATTCTGATTCTGCATTAAAAAAAGCCACACATCTCTCAACTTCTCTATATCAGTTCTGGATTCGGTCAAGCTACCATTAAATGTTTATGGGAATGCTGAAAGATTTCTGCTTACCAGGCCTTCAAACTCACTGCGCTTTCTGTTCCAGTTGGCAACGTGGGACTCTGAGAAAGGACTGAATGGCAGCCTACAGGAGAGACGTCTGGGCAATGACTTACAAGGAGTGACACTCAAAGTGGTGACTGTCTTGGTATGATGCTCTTTGAAGGATCTTTCTTTCGGGAAACAAAACGCTCAAAATAAAAAGGAGCCGACTGGGTATTTTGGGCACTTCCCGCAGTGTTTTTGCCTATCATTTTCAGTTCTGTATTTTTGGATGATCAGTTACATAAGCATGGAAGATAGATGATGGCCTTTTATTATTCTATGTGAAGCTGTGCGCTGTCAGAGATACAGAGCATTTGTTTGTTTGCTTGTGCTGTTTTTCTGCATTGTAATTCCTGCCAGGCAGAGAACCAGCACAGGGCCTGAGTGCACAGGGGGGCATTCCAGATATTGTGCTTTAACTTGGATAGGCAATTTCCAGCATTTCATGGATTTTAAGATCAGATGGGCCAATTATGATAATCTAATCTTGGCTCTTGTACACTGCAGGCTGTAAAATTTAATCAAGTGTTTCCTCCATCAAGCTCATAAATTCCCATTGAGATAAACTATATCTTTTAGAAAGGTGACATCTTTCCAAAGAAATCATTATGCTTTTGGGACTACTGTCTCTTAGACTCTAAGTGGTAGAAGAGCTCCTGTCAGCCAAGTGCTACATTAGGGGCGAATTAGGGCTTAAATGCATTCCTGCCTGAAATATTTTAGTCTGCAGATTGCAGAATGTGATGTCTTTCTGTGGCTTTTAATTATCTTTTTCCAAATCATGGTATAAATAGGCAGTACCACATAAGATCATTAAGGCACTCCTCCAGCCCCCAGTTTACTTTTCTCTATTTATGCTGCAGCTGATGGGGGAGGTGAGCAGACAATGTGAGTACTGGGGTACAAAGGCAGCCAGCTGTGGTGGCTGTGCTGCTGACAGCCCTGGCATTCCCCTGCAGGACAGCAGGACACCCATGCCCAGCAGAAAACATACCCCAAAATGCTGCATTTCCTTGTTCCCATAACATACTTTAACTTAAAATATTCTAGAAACTAGTACCCATGAAGGTTATTCTTTGAATTTTCAAAATTTTAATTGTTCAATAAATGCAGTGTTTTTAGCTCTTGTTTCAGTATGTCTCCTGGATAAAAGATTAAGCATTGTATACAAAAGATGGCTTTCTAAATTTAATATGATCTGAGATACATGGGCAGTAGTAATCTTCCTATCTATCCTTCCTATCATGTGCTCAACTTAATATCTGTATTCTAGACAGCTACTTAGGACACTAAGTTAGGTCTATGTGCCCCCTTTATGACCAGTGAGAAGAGGCAGGTATTTTAGAGAGGAACTAATCCTGTGTACACCAGGTCAAATTGTCTTCTGGAGTCTCTGCCTCTTCTCAAGAACTATGGAAAACCCAAGGCCATGGATAGGGCTCAGGTGCTGAGGCGGTGGTGTCTGGTTGGGATGCTTCACAGTATCTCACGTTGCCTACAGCTTTTGCACTCAGAAGGTTATGAGTGTCTCAAAATCCATGCCAAGTTGTTCAGAATTAGCTCAGGAAACATCCTTTTGCTAAGAGGAGCAAATTAAAAATCTTGTTTCAAGTATCAGTTAAGATATTTTTTTGTTCTCAGGAAGAACCTTTTGTGATGGTGGCAGAGAACATACTTGGGCAGCCAAAACGATATAAAGGATTTTCCATTGATGTCCTGGACGCACTTGCCAAGAATCTAGGCTTCAAGTATGAGATTTATCAAGCTCCTGATGGCAAATATGGACAGCAGCTCCAAAACAGCTCGTGGAATGGCATGATTGGAGAACTCATTAACAAGGTACACAGAGAAGAAGCTGCACTATAAGAAAAAAAAAAGAAAATGAAAAAGAAAAAATATTACTCATTGGAGTAGGGTGTCAGATCTTTGTAAAGGTGTTTAAATATTCTCCTTTCCCCATTTCAAATTACAAGTGAATGAATTAGGATGAAAGCATCAGTGCAGAATGCTTCTGAGCTGTGGATGGTTTAAGTGTGATATAAACTGCAATTTAAGACCCTGTATACAGGATAAGAACTAAAGAGTCTCTTGTTTTATTTGCTCCCAACTGCTCTCAACATAAATTATGTCAGTGTAAATCTGTGTGTTTACATAGCTATAAGAAGAGAGGGCATGCATGTGTGTGAGGGAATGACTACAGAAAATGGAGAAAAGATAGGGTATTCTCCTTCAAATATGAATTTCTATTATTTTAAATTTTCATTATGTCTTTGCTTCTTGTTTGTAGATAGGACTTTATTTCTGTCACTTTGTCTGACTCCAACACAGGAAAAGTGTTGGGACTAGTAGTCCCTATTTGGGACTAGGTCCCCCTAGTAATAGGGGACCAGAATTTGAACTAATCTCAAGATTATTTGTTCATTTAAAACAGAGAGGACCACATTTCTTTTCTTAACTACAGTCTTGCAAATCCAGAAGTAAGTTAACTGTACTCCATTTAAGTAGATGGGAAAAGTTTGTAGTTTAGAATCTCTCAGGAAATTGAATTAGAGTATGTTTTGTTAATGTTCTCACTATCTGACATGGGACAAATGTTAATCAAGAAGAAGAATCAAAGGAATTAATATTCCATGTTGCTGCTCTCTGTAGAAAAGGTTACTCTTCTGCAGTGGAGTTATTACTGAAATGAAAACTTTCCCATTATCTAGTAAGTACGTGGCTCAGTATCTGCTAAGTAGATGTTTAGAAAGAAGTAGAAGCAATTAAAGCAATAGCCAGTGTGTGTGATAAGGGGATGCTCTTGGTTGGTGCTAGGAAACATAAAGAATCTTTACCTTATTTTGCACTGACATAAGCTGTTTGATTTTCATTGATTTAAAAATGAGTTAAGGAATCCTCTTAAATTTCTTTGGAAATTGCTTTCTTTGAGGCAATAAAGTGTCTATTATGGTATATTTTAAAAGGCATTTCTGCTACCAGTTGTTCCATTGGCTCCAAAGGATTTTAAAGCAGACTTCCCTCATCTAATATTTGTTTTACTTTCCCAACAAAATTAGAGATAAGGAACAGAATGTACATTCTGTTTTCTTTGAAAAGAATCTTATTAAGATGGAAAAATATTGAAAATCTAACTGCAGCTCTTCAAAAGCTTTGGGAATCTTATTTATTAATTTCTTTTTTTCCTCCATCGAGTTTGCATACTCTTATAGGACCATCTACAAGCAAAACCTAAATGTTGAAGTCAAAGCAGTTTCAAGAACTAGTTTGCTTTTGGTGCCTTCTTCCTGTTACTACTTTTTGCAATCACTTTATACATTTTAAAAAACAAACAAAGTCTTCTCCCCAGTTGTCATATAAAGTCTCTTCATGAATATGGAAAGTTGGCAATTCTGCAGGGAGAAAAACAAACACTAGCTCTTTGCACCTTGCTACCAAATACACAAGCTAAATAAATGTGGTTTCTTTATTGCTTGCAGTGCACCAGGTTAATATGGTTTAGAGTTTTAGGCCTTCTCTGGAAAACAAGTGAGGGATAAAGGTTAAATAGGTTGCACTTCCAGAGAGTTTAAGAGTACCTTGACAGGTTATGTTTCACTACTCTGCTTCAGACCATGTTCAGAATTGTTCAGGTGCAATTTACTAATGCTTAAATTATGCAACGGAGTCTGGTTTTATTTTTAGAGTATTTATATAAATACACCTAAATGTTTTAAGTTATAGAATGAAATAGAAAGTGTCTCCTTAAGGCTCACACTGGCCAAAATGGTGGTGAAGGGAAGAGCTCTGACCTGTTGCGCTTGTCTCGCAGAGAGCAGACCTGGCCATCTCAGCCATCACCATAACACCCGAACGAGAGAGCGTTGTGGACTTCAGCAAGCGCTACATGGACTATTCTGTGGGGATCTTAATCAAAAAACCCGAAGAGAAAATCAACATCTTCTCTCTCTTTGCTCCTTTCGACTTTGCGGTGTGGGCCTGCATCGCCGCAGCCATCCCTATAGTCGGCGTCTTGATCTTCGTCCTGAACCGGATCCAGGCAGTCAGGGCACAGAACGCTTCCCAGCCCAGCCCTTCTGTGTCCTCCACCCTCCACAGTGCCATCTGGGTTGTGTACGGAGCCTTTGTTCAGCAAGGTACTTACCCTCCTGTGAATGGCACTGAAAGACCTTCAGAAATGGTCTGCCTTGGGTAAAGCAGGGCAGGACATGTCAGTCTTGGCCAGAGTGGGCTAAAGATGAAAGAGAAGGCTTGTATGGGGTGGTAAATATGTTTTACTAGCTGATTGAAAGTGGGAAGAGGTAGGTAAGATTGGGGGGGGGGTTATTTCTTTTTTGGCTTTTCTGCCTCTCAGTAATTCCACAAAAAGCAGGCTTTTTCTCTTTGGGAAAGTTGTTATACTAGAAATAAACTACAGAGCTGCTTGGTGCAGAATTGAAACACTTCTTCAGCTCCAAATCTAGCACTTTTTCTAATTGTTTGAATTTAATTTATAAATATAAGTAGAAATTTATATGCTTTTGAACTCACTGGAGACAATTCAACTCTTGGTTCTTTGAATTGAACATGAAAATGATTTGTGGTCTTGCAACTACCCTCAGGAATCTCTAGATGTAGGACTAAACCTACTGAATTCAGGAGGACTATTACCATTAACAAAGTTACTTCTGAAACTAATTGCTTGCAAAATCTGCGCACACAGTTTTTGTGCCATATCTATAATGTTAGTTCTATTCTTGAAAAGACAGGTCTTGTTGAATGCTGATATGTGGATAAGTTGTTAACTTTTTTCTACATTTTTTTGTTGTTGTTGTGATTGCAAGCTTATAAAGCTTCAATTGGAAAATCCGTCCTATTGCTATGAAACTTGGTCCCTCATCTCATTAATGTGGCATTCCTGATGGGTTTAAGTGCAGTAAGATATAATCAGCACAACTGTATGCTGAATTGACTAGCACCAGCTCTATGGGAAAATTTAGTCTCCAGTGATGTTCAAGCATAACTGTGCTTGAAGACTGCTGGAAAAAAATCTTCACGTTAGTTGAAATCTTGTAAAGAGTAACAAGTAATAACACTAATGCTTCAGTCTTTGCAGATTTAAATACAGCAAAAATAGCACACAAAACATTGGGCAGCTCTGTGGGTTTTTTCCCCCCAGTTCTAAAATGATAATTGAAAACAGAACATTACTGTATTCTGAGCACTGTAATGATTTAATTCCCACATATTAGTTGTGCTTCACCATTCAACTGCCTTTACTCAGAACATTTTTCATGTTCTCTAGATTTGATATTCAATAATTCTCAAGGGAAATTTTTTGAAAGCTGATTTTCTAGAACACTGTCTAGGGCAAGAGGTTGACTGGTGAAAATACTTGTAAATTACCAGTCTCAGCAGAAGCAATGCTTTTCCCACAGTGAAAGGGCAGACTAGAGGGGGAGCAGAGAGGGAGCTCCAACAAAGTTTAACACAACAGGGCACACAGAGGGTGATTGTAAATGGAAGCTGCTGAGAGACCCTTATTTTCTCTGTTTATTTGTAGGGAGTGAATCCACTGTCAATTCTGTGGCAATGCGCATTGTAATGGGAAGCTGGTGGCTCTTCACCCTTATCGTGTGCTCTTCCTACACAGCGAATTTAGCAGCATTTCTCACAGTATCAAGGATGGATAATCCCATCAGGTAAGAGCCTCTTTTTAACGGGAAGCTAGAAACCTGGATTTCACAGTACAGTATTACCCATTTGAGCACTCATTCTTGCAAGAAAGAGATAACTCTCTAACAAAATACTCTGCTTATTTTCAGTGTCTGTTTTTCTCTTCTCTCCCCCTCTCCACCTTCACTCCAACAGCCCCCAAGCAGTTTTGACAGGTGCATGGAGAGTACAGTGACCCTTCAATTGTGCATTTTTCCAGAAGAGAGGTCTTTCATGAGCTCCTGGTTGTTTGGTGGCGATTTGTGTGTGTGTATGTAACTTGAGGGGGTTTCATCAAATTTAAAGGCTAAATAATGTTTTCATTTCTTTCCTCACAAAAACATGGACAAAATTCCCAGCTTCACACTGGCCTGGAGTACTGGGAGGGCCATTGGTCTTTACTGAAAGGGTAAGAGCCTGATAGCTCATGTTTGATCTGATGGCAGTGGAGTGGAGAGGTGACAGTGCAGCACAGGCTCTCCTTCTAGAAAATTCTGAGGCAAAGATTTCGGGTGCTAGAGGGTGCCACAGTTAAGTTGTTGGTCTCCTCTGGGATTGCATAGGGAAGAGTGGGACTGAATATTTGTGCTCGCCTCCTGAAACAGAAGCAGTGTCAGTGAGGTGAGGCTGGTACTTAAAAAGCTGCTTTTACCTTCTCTGTGGTATCTGCAGAGAAGGGCATGAATAAGTGCACTTCTCATAAACCTGAGTTCAACAGCATTTTCAATTTTTAACATGTCAATGTGTACTTGCAGAAAATGTAACATTTTTTATGGATATAGTCTTTTAATAATAATAAAGTCTGCCCAAAACCATAACAAGCTTTGGTCTTAAATTAATTTTCTGTTAGTTTGACCAAAATAAGTGGGTCTTAACAGTAATAGAAATAAGTACTCCAAGTAATTTCTGGAAATAACATGAGAAACTATATAGAATAAAACTTTGTGTGAATAAAATCTCTATGTGAGGCCTGGATGTACTGGGATAAAGGTTAAGCTCAGTGAATAAATTGCTCTTGAAAAACAAGACACAAATAGCTATCCAGAAAGCTTGAAAAATTATATTCTTAAAAAGTTTTGAAAGTTCTATTTCTTTCGTTGCAGAATAGTTTTTCTGTTTGGGCTAAATTAGCACTTCCTAAAACTTAGCAAAGTTCAGAGGAGGACAAAAGTTGGAGTGTAATTGCGTGAGGAATCTCCAAAGAAAGACAGAGGTTTAAGAGCAGAACTGTGAATTTTTAGAGGAGGCCTTTGAGGCTGAGCTGTTACAACATTTACAAGGGGTTTTGATTTCCTTTCTTTTTAAAAAGAAAGGACATTGGTAAGAATCATGAGGAGGAGAGAAGTTCTTTGGGTAAAGGAACTGCTCGATGTTGTTTCACAAGCAAAGACCCAGGCACCCTTCTGCAAGTTCCTGTTATCCCCTTGTACAAGGTGAGGATACAGAAGGAAGAAATCACTCTGTTGTGATTTGAAAACATCAGCAGAGTCATTCAGGTGCCAAAACGTAAATTCCAAAAGTAATTTAAGCTGCCATAAGGCTTCACTGCCTCTGCTGCAGCTACTTGGCTGTAAGGCCAGGGGTCTCCATCAGGAGTTGTCAGCCACAATGTGGATTGTTCATATTGCCTGAGATGTCAAAAGTGGTCCTGGATGCTGAGGCTTAGGTACCCAAATAATTCCTGAGGGACTCTGAAACGGAACTGTCAGAATACTCTCTGAGTTGACTGCTGGTTGGCATAACTGAGACAGTTAAGAGACTGGCTTGTCTTGGCTTGCCTATGGCTATTTTATAACGTTTGCATATTGTCCCCAAGGTGCTGCTACTCGAGAGAAAGAGATCTTGACTAACCCCTCTCATTGAAAACTGTGATTGCCTTAGGAAAGAGGAAATGGGATAAAGAAGTAGGTCTCTCTTCATCCACTTCAAAGTTATGATGAAGATATTTTCATGTCCCTACTCTTTAGGAGAAGCATCTTATAAAATGTTTTGTCAGATTTAGAGCATATTATTTTCCTGAGAAAGTAAATTACTGCCCTACCTGGATTCATTGTGTCTCAGCTCCCAGTACTAACTGGCTTCAGAATCATATGATGTGGAGTGGCTATTTTTGCCTCTCTCACTCTGCCCTCAGCTTGCCCACATTATATCTTTCATGAACCCAGAAAAGAATACTTATGTGAAATCCATTTTTCCCACCCAAAGAGGCACAATGAATTACAGTTGAAAACTTGCTCACCAGCTGAGAGCAACCAAATCCATCTGTGTATACTTCCATTGTTAAGAAAAAACAACCTCCATCCTTTCAGTAAATGTGTGCTGTTATCTCCCCCTCTATAGAGAAGTCCTCTGGTGTTCAGTACTGCTGCAGCTAAATTGCCAGCAGGAGAGAAATAAGTATTATGGTGCTGCAGTAGCTGCTACATAGTTAAGATTTTCATTACAAGGCTAATTTTCTTCCCAAGCCCTCTCCAAAATGCTTAATAAAAGTTGTTTCAGCATCAAATTTGGCATGTGTGGTCTGTGACTAGCGAAATAGAAGTAAGTTTGACTGAATAACTAGGTGTCAATCAATCCAGTGATCATTGCCTTAATTTCACTGCAAAAACAAGTGTGTCATAGAAATCATAAATGATATTTATTAGAAGGGGCTTGGTGAGACTTTCGCTGTAACGATGTTGAACTGTTGGAAGGCAGCTTTTTAAAATTAGAATGTCAGATGAAAACCTGCTCATAGGTGAATAATTTTTTGTTTTATGTCTGGCGTAGTTAAGTCTCACAAGAGTATTCCACCCTGCCGTGAGTTTTAGAGACTTCCTGTGTTCACAGAAAGGTGAAATATCCAGAGCAGGAGGCATGACAGGAAGTAACTTTGATGTGCCACCTGTATTTCTGTTTCCTGAAAGATATTTCCTAAATCCTTAACAGGTTCCCAAGTGCTATGCGGTCCAGGTGCTCAAATCCCGTGTGTAGGATGTGCTTATCTTGGAAAGAAAAATATCCTTCTCCTTGCATTTTCCCAAACCCTCGAGGGCTTCATCACATACATGCTACCAGGAGGAGGCACTGGCTTTCTGGCCTGCCATGGCAGCACATGCTGCCTTGCTCTTCACATGCTCTGTGTGCTCATCTCTCATCCTTCTGTGACAGGGTGGAGAGGAGGGTCTGAATGTAGAGTTTAAGACCCACATCAAAACCTCTGTCCCTTCAGAAGATCAAGGCTAGCAGGAAACAGTGTGAACCTTCCCTGGCTGTTCTCCATTTTTGGTTTCTAGCAGACTGTGCTTCTGCTCCCCTTTGCTCTTTTAATGCTGCTTCTCTAATCCCTCTGTCCGAATGACCTCCTTCACTTCTCATCTTCTCTCTGCCTCAACCTCACAACGAGGGAGCAAAGGCAGTGTCGTGGTTATCTCAGAATTTCTGTGTTTATAGAGATTCACAGGTAAGGCAGGGAAACATCAAGTAGATTTCCTGGCCACATATGGGCAGAGAAGTGAGATATTACCCAGTTCAATAAAAAACAGGGAAGGTGGTTCGTGTGAGTGTGCTGGGGGCAACTGCTTTGGAGCTCAGGCCAGGAAGCTGTAACTTTGTAAATGGTTAGTTCTCAAACCACTCATGGTCTAACTTTGTAAATGAGTAGTTCTCAATATTTGTTTTGAAATAGAAATCTTCGTAATGTTTAGAGCCTGTGCTAATACTCGACAAACTCATTTAAACCCAAATAATTTGCATAATATTCGCCTTCAGTGCTGGGCCAGTCTGCTAAGTAAGGCAGAATTATTACATACAAGTTTGTTATTTCTTTTGTGTTATTACATTTTCAAACAACTCTTGGATCTGCTGTCTGACCTTCCATTTGTAATTATGAGTTTAATTAGCAGTGACTTGCATTCCAGCCTCATTTCTTGCTAACAAGCGGACTACATGCAGTTCAGTAGCTGCACAGATATTCTGAAACTCAGGTTTTGGAGAGCTTGTTTGACAATATGTTAAGAATCACGTAAGAAAAAAAGGACATTGAAAAGTATTCTATTTGCAAATTCAAAAGAGTTTAAATTGAAGATTTTATCAAATTGATCCTTAACATTTGTACATGCTGTGGCTGTTTTGACAGGCATCTTTATATATGCATCCATGGACTGCATACAAATGCATGCTATGTCTCCTCTTAAGTTCACAGCTGTTGTTTCATGGTTTGGGATTTCCTTATTTGCATTTTAATCCCCAAATTTCCTGTGTTTTGGTGACAGCTGAAGATTTACTGCAGCTTAGTTGGGGTGATAGGCTGGCACTTGGAAGACTTGGGTGCAAATTCTTTTTCTACCGCATGCTTTGTTTGATCTTGGCAAGCTTAACCTCCTCTCGTCTCGGTTCTCTTTCTGCATAACAGAGTAATAATATTTTCTTATCTTATGTGGCATGTTGTCAATTTAGCTGCTTTAAAGATGATGGCCAGAAATGACCATATTATAGTAGCACTGCAGGTATCAAAATATATAGAGTTTCTGGATTGGATATAAAACAGAAACAATCTCAAAATATTTTAAAAGAAAATGAAGAAAGTACTTGGAAGATGCCAGCTAGAGGGAAATGAACAAAGGTTTCATCTGCTGTAGTTAAGTGAATTTGATAGAGTTTATAGCAAGAACCTCACAGGAATCCCTCTGTATTTTCAGCAATTTTGTCTTGAATTTCCTATATTTGAAAACAGCCTTTCTGTTGTTCATATCATACTTGGTTTTTAAAATATTTCATTGGATTATCATCTGTTATGTTTAATTTGCGCGATGCTTTGTGGTGTCTGTGCAGCACCTCAGGCACATTGGCAGGAGGCATGTAGGAAAGAGCATGATAAAAAATAATTATTGTTATTATTATTTAAGGCCTGTGAGCAAATGCTTCGATCACTACATAACTAGATTAAGTTCATCCATGAAAAAAAGAAAGTTAAAAAAGAGTGTAAGAAGGATGCAAGCGAATGAGC